GGTTATGATGGGGCTATGCAGGGTTATGATGGGGCTATGCAGGGTTATGATGGGGCTATGCAGGGTTATGATGGGGCTATGCAGGGTTATGATGGGGCTATGCAGGGTTATGATGGGGCTATGCAGGGTTATGATGGGGCTATGCAGGGTTATGATGGGGCTATGCAGGGTTATGATGGGGCTATGCAGGGTTATGATGGGGCTATGCAGGGTTATGATGGGGCTATGCAGGGTTATGATGGGGCTATGCAGGGTTATGATGGGGCTATGCAGGGTTATGATGGGGCTATGCAGGGTTATGATGGGGCTATGCAGGGTTATGATGGGGCTATGCAGGGTTATGATGGGGCTATGCAGGGTTATGATGGGGCTATGCAGGGTTATGATGGGGCTATGCAGGGTTATGATGGGGCTATGCAGGGTTATGATGGGGCTATGCAGGGTTATGATGGGGCTATGCAGGGTTATGATGGGGCTATGCAGGGTTATGATGGGGCTATGCAGGGTTATGATGGGGCTATGCAGGGTTATGATGGGGCTATGCAGGGTTATGATGGGGCTATGCAGGGTTATGATGGGGCTATGCAGGGTTATGATGGGGCTATGCAGGGTTATGATGGGGCTATGCAGGGTTATGATGGGGCTATGCAGGGTTATGATGGGGCTATGCAGGGTTATGATGGGGCTATGCAGGGTTATGATGGGGCTATGCAGGGTTATGATGGGGCTATGCAGGGTTATGATGGGGCTATGCAGGGTTATGATGGGGCTATGCAGGGTTATGATGGGGCTATGCAGGGTTATGATGGGGCTATGCAGGGTTATGATGGGGCTATGCAGGGTTATGATGGGGCTATGCAGGGTTATGATGGGGCTATGCAGGGTTATGATGGGGCTATGCAGGGTTATGATGGGGCTATGCAGGGTTATGATGGGGCTATGCAGGGTTATGATGGGGCTATGCAGGGTTATGATGGGGCTATGCAGGGTTATGATGGGGCTATGCAGGGTTATGATGGGGCTATGCAGGGTTATGATGGGGCTATGCAGGGTTATGATGGGGCTATGCAGGGTTATGATGGGGCTATGCAGGGTTATGATGGGGCTATGCAGGGTTATGATGGGGCTATGCAGGGTTATGATGGGGCTATGCAGGGTTATGATGGGGCTATGCAGGGTTATGATGGGGCTATGCAGGGTTATGATGGGGCTATGCAGGGTTATGATGGGGCTATGCAGGGTTATGATGGGGCTATGCAGGGTTATGATGGGGCTATGCAGGGTTATGATGGGGCTATGCAGGGTTATGATGGGGCTATGCAGGGTTATGATGGGGCTATGCAGGGTTATGATGGGGCTATGCAGGGTTATGATGGGGCTATGCAGGGTTATGATGGGGCTATGCAGGGTTATGATGGGGCTATGCAGGGTTATGATGGGGCTATGCAGGGTTATGATGGGGCTATGCAGGGTTATGATGGGGCTATGCAGGGTTATGATGGGGCTATGCAGGGTTATGATGGGGCTATGCAGGGTTATGATGGGGCTATGCAGGGTTATGATGGGGCTATGCAGGGTTATGATGGGGCTATGCAGGGTTATGATGGGGCTATGCAGGGTTATGATGGGGCTATGCAGGGTTATGATGGGGCTATGCAGGGTTATGATGGGGCTATGCAGGGTTATGATGGGGCTATGCAGGGTTATGATGGGGCTATGCAGGGTTATGATGGGGCTATGCAGGGTTATGATGGGGCTATGCAGGGTTATGATGGGGCTATGCAGGGTTATGATGGGGCTATGCAGGGTTATGATGGGGCTATGCAGGGTTATGATGGGGCTATGCAGGGTTATGATGGGGCTATGCAGGGTTATGATGGGGCTATGCAGGGTTATGATGGGGCTATGCAGGGTTATGATGGGGCTATGCAGGGTTATGATGGGGCTATGCAGGGTTATGATGGGGCTATGCAGGGTTATGATGGGGCTATGCAGGGTTATGATGGGGCTATGCAGGGTTATGATGGGGCTATGCAGGGTTATGATGGGGCTATGCAGGGTTATGATGGGGCTATGCAGGGTTATGATGGGGCTATGCAGGGTTATGATGGGGCTATGCAGGGTTATGATGGGGCTATGCAGGGTTATGATGGGGCTATGCAGGGTTATGATGGGGCTATGCAGGGTTATGATGGGGCTATGCAGGGTTATGATGGGGCTATGCAGGGTTATGATGGGGCTATGCAGGGTTATGATGGGGCTATGCAGGGTTATGATGGGGCTATGCAGGGTTATGATGGGGCTATGCAGGGTTATGATGGGGCTATGCAGGGTTATGATGGGGCTATGCAGGGTTATGATGGGGCTATGCAGGGTTATGATGGGGCTATGCAGGGTTATGATGGGGCTATGCAGGGTTATGATGGGGCTATGCAGGGTTATGATGGGGCTATGCAGGGTTATGATGGGGCTATGCAGGGTTATGATGGGGCTATGCAGG